AATTAATAAAAAAGAATATAAATTAAGAGCCTTTGCAGATGACTTGGTTGTTACTTTGTCTCAACCTATTTGTTCGGTGGTAAAATTATTACAATTGATCCAACAATATGGACGTGTTTCTGGTTTTAAAATTAATAATAATAAGACCAAAATATTAGCTAAAAATATGACTAATGGTGATAAACAGGTTTTAGTTAAGTTAACAGACTTTGAAATTGTTGATAAGGTAAAATATTTGGGGGTTACATTATCTGCTTCCAATGCAAAACTGTATAAAAATAATTATGAAAAGTTGTGGACGGAGATACAGAAGGATTTAAAAAATTGGAACAATTTACAGTTATCCCTTATGGGTAGAATTGCAGTTATTAAAATGAATGTCCTGCCAAAGTTTATTTTTCTGTTTCAAATGTTACCTATTTTAAAGAGTGATCGTAATTTAGATGAATGGCAAAAAGGTATTAATAAATTTGTTTGGGCAGGGAAAAAACCAAGGGTGAAACTTAAAATAATGCAAGATTTTCGTGAGAGAGGTGGACTCAAGGTACCAAATATGAAATTGTATTATGATGCTGTAGTACTAACATTGATCAGCGATTGGGTGAATTTAACAAATATAGAAATACTTCATTTGGAAGGTTGGGATTTACTTTTTGGATGGCATGCCTATTTAATATTTAATAAAAAAGTGGATTGGGTTTTTAAGTCTCATATTATAAGAATCTCTTTGCTTAGAGTGTGGAGGAAGTATTATAAATTTGATTTTAAAATACCATTATGGGCTATACCTCGGCATGCCATAGAAGGTATAAGGAAAGGGGTTAATATGGATATGGTTTCTTATGCACAGTTACTTAGATGGGATGGCCAAGATTGGCAGTTAAAATCTTTGGAAGAACTAATACATGAAAATCTAACTTATTCATGGTTCCAATATAGACAAATAGTGGACAGATGGAAGATGGATTGTAAAATGGGCTGGCTTAGAGAAGATGAAACTCTCCTAAAACAAGTAAGAGATCAAAGGCCAACCCATATTAAGAGAGTTTATGGGGTTTTAGTGGAATTGGATTCAGAATCTGAATTAGTTAAAGATTGTATGATTAAATGGGCACAGAATATTGGTGAATCGATTTCAATGGATACTTGGGAACTTATTTGGACAAGAAATGTTAAATTCACACAAGCGCAAAATTTAAGAGAGAATTTTTATAAGATGTTTTATAGATGGCACCTTGATCCAAAGAAAATGTCCATTATGTACTCTAATTTACAGCCGAAATGCTGGAGATGTGGACACTTGGATGCTACTTATTATCATATCTGGTGGACGTGTAAGCATATAAAAGCTTTTTGGATTAAGATATGGTGGAATATTCAGAGAATTTTTAGAAGGAGGGTAAAATTTACTCCGCAATTATTTTTATTAGGTATTGTTACTGATTGTGATGCTAGGGAGGTTATATTGATGCTAAATTTGATTACAGCCGCTAGGCTGTTAATAGGACAATATTGGAAGAAGGAATCCTTGCCTATTTTACAAGAGTGGTTTTATAAAGTTTCGTATTTGGCAGAAATGGCAAAGATTTCGGCTTTTTTAAAGGAGCAATCTCAAGAGAAATTTTTTGCGGTATGGGAAAAATGGATAAATTTTATACAACATAATTTAGATATGGAAAAATATTATTTAGCCTTTTTATAACTTGTAATGATTGTTTTTTTTTCTTTCTTTCTTTCTTCTTCTGTATTATTATTTATATACTTTTCTATATATGTTTTATTTTTCGCCTACCTCTTTCTTTTTTCTTTCTCTCTCTCTTTTCTTTTTCCCTTTTTTCTTCTTCCTTTTTTTTACGTATATTATTATTATATATATTATTATTATGATTTTTATTATTATTATTAATTATCTTATAAATTGTATACGTTATTTTTTAAAATTTGTTAAATAATCCTATATTCAGTTCTGGGAAGTCGGGGGGGGGAGGGTGGGGTGGTTTGGGAGGGGGGGGTGGATGTTTATTTGTAAAATTTTTGAAAAAAATTCAATAAAAAAAAAAAAAGATTTGTCTGGCATGATCTGTTTTTGACAAACCCGTGTTGGCTTTTAGTAATGACTTTGTTTGCCTGTAGGTGTTCGCTGATTCATTGTTTGATTATCTTTTCCAGAATCTTCCCAGGTATTGAAGTCAGGCTAATAGGTCTGTAATTTCCTGGATCCATTTTTTTCCTTTTTTGAAGATGGAAACTACATCAGCTCTTTTCCAGTCCTCTGGTAGGTCCCCAGTACTCCAGGATCTTTGAAAAATATAGTTCAGTGGTTCTGAGATCACATCTGTCAGTTCCTTGAGAACCTTAGGGTGTAATCCATCTGGTCCTGGTGATTTGAACTCATCTAGGCTGGACAGGTGCTCACTTACCATTTTTTTGCCTATCTTAACTTGTTTTTCTATTCTGTTTTTTATGGCACTATTTTTGATAGGTTGGTCTGTTTTTTCCCTTTGTGTAAAGACAGAGGCAAAAACAAGTTAAATAGTTCTGCTTTCTCCCTGTTGCTTGTCACCTTCTTGCCACTTTCCCCCACTAACGGACCAATCATTTCCTTCACTTTTTTCTTGTTTTTTACATGTTGAAAGAAGCTTTTTTTGTTATTTTTGACTTTGGTCACAAGCCATAGTTCATTTTGAACCTTAGCTTTCCTCGCTTCATCTTTGCAGGCTCGGGCTATTTGCTGATATTCTGACTTAGTTATGTGTCCCTCTTTCCACTTTCTATACTTGTCCTTTTTATCTTTCAATTGATCAGAGAGTTCTTTATGCAGCCATGCTGGTTTCTTTTGAGAGCTGTTATTTTTCCTCTTTGTTGGTATTGTGCTAGACTGGGCTTTTATTATCTCACTTTTCAAAATTTCCCAAGCTTCTTGAATTGTTTTCCTCATGAGGATTCTCATCCATGGAATCCTTCCCAAGCCCTCTCTAAGTTTCTTGAAATTAGCTCTCTTAAAGTCCAAGACTCTAGTTTGACTGTGTTCTATTGCTTGTGCTTCCATAATGTTGAGTTCCAATCTTGCACGATCACTTCCTCCCAAGGTTCCTGTGGCTTCAACACCTTCTATTATTTCATCTGTGTTAGTGAAAATTAGATCCAAAATGGCTAATCCCCTAGTTCCCTTCTCTACTTTTTAGGAGACAAAGTTGTCTGCTAGGTTTGTCAGGAATGTTTGATCTTCCACTTGGTGCAGAGTTTGTCTCCCAGTTGATGTCAGGGTAGTTAAAGTCCCCCATTACTATTGTGATGTCATTCCTACATACCTTAGTTAGCTGACTAACTGGTATGCATCTGCCATTTGTTGAGATGGTTTGTATATGTACTATATTCCCTTCCATTTGACCAGTGGTCAATCAATTGATTAATTGACCGTTTGACTCTTAAAGAAAATCAGGATAAATTTACTATTAATATGGATTTTTGTAGTCCAGGTCTAGTAGCTATAGGAAAGGAAGTCATAAGGATCCAATCAGGGTCACCAGGACCAAAGGTTTAGTCTTCCAAGCTTTTGGACTCATGCTGGAGCCCATCCTCAGGGAAATTTTCTCTCTCACCGGAACACAGCAGAGATGCCACACTAAGAGAATTCATAGCACCATTAGACCCTATATTCAACGGAGCAGAGATGGAAGAGCCAGAAAAACATGTCATGAGGCAAAAAATATTGGCAATGCTGGTCTCACACAAACCAAACAATATGCTCAGCCCAACAGAGTGACACACCTTGAAAGACATGGGAAAAAACACAAACACACATTCTGGTGAGAGAGAAGTTCCCTGAGGATGGGCGCCAGCATGTGTCTGAAACCTGAAAGACTAAATCTCTGGTCCCGGTGACCTACCCTAATTGGATCCTGTAACATTACCCTAGGACATGTATATTTGCCTTCATTCATGGGAAAACATAAGGTCTTTGATCCAGTCTCCATCTGCCTACTAAAAACTGGGTTCTGGCCATTTTTCCAGCCCCTAGCCCATTTCTTGAAACGAGGAGGCTCCCTCAAATTCAACATATTTTGCTATCGTTTTCTGCTCATTGTAGTGTTTATCTGTTTTTAATGTTGTATGCTGCCAAGAGCCATTTTTTAATTGGGAAGCCTTACAAATGAAATAAATCATCAAAGGAAAAGAAGGCAATGTCCACAACATGCAACGCCTTGAAACCTTCTGCAGTTCTGTTGAAGCTGCAGCATGAAGCAAATCAAGGAAGGAGCCCAACAGAAGACAGAGAGCCAAGTTCAGATTCACAGTCAGGGAGCTAATGGGGCCTCTTTCAGTCAATTGATCCATCTCTCAGCTTTCACTGGGGATAAAGTTAAGAGGAAAGTCCAGGTGTTTCACCTTGAATTTTCAAAAAGGGAGATTTACATGGAATAAATAAATGTCTTATACAATAACCTAATCTCCACATGAACTGAATGCCAGCTGAGTAGAAAGTTCAGGGGGGCAGTACCAAAAAAGAATTAGACATTATTCTACCAAGCATGTTGAATAATGTTCCTAGTGTGATAGGCACCTCAAATATCTCGCCATCCTCTATTTCTGACCCATTGAAATTGTGCTGGGAACCTTTTTTGTGGATTTGATATTTTAGGGTAAAGATTAAGAAACCAAGATTATGAAACCAAACAAGATTATGAAACAAAATGAGAGAGACTGATCATAATTCTTTTAGTTGGGGAAGGGGATATTCCTTCATTCTAACTCTGATCTGTTTATTTTGAAGAGTTCATTGAAACTTTCATGGGTTTACCTCCTCAAAATAGCAGGACCCATCCCCTTCACTTTTCAGCAATTGTACCATTGAATATTGGGGATGCCCCAAAGAAAGCTCAAGGGGTTGCATTAGAGGCAGAGGGATATGGGTCACCTGAGATGCTTATTTTAATTTGAAACATCCTTATCTTTTGGACAACATCCTTAGAGCTCCTTTTCTTCTTTGTTTTCCACAGTCTTGTTTTGGATTTCGATCTCATTATCAGTAGCTTTCGACAACTCCCCACAGCACTCTTTGCCTGGCTCTGCATGTTCCTCTACACCTTATGTGTGCCCTACCAGGCCCTGCAAATATGGTCAGGCTGCTTGAAGATGACCAGGTTCCCCAACCTCTTGACAGTCACCTTGGTGGTGCTGGTGCTGCTCTGCCACACTGCAATGCTGGGCTTCTTCCCCCTCTATATCCTTCTCTCCTGTGATTTGGGAATTGCCTCCCGTTTTATTGTCCTCTCTGAGCAGGTATGGCACTGGGCCAGCACAAAGAAAGTTGGTAGAGGGGAAAGGATTTCTTAAACAGTAATGAGGGTAGTTAAGATGAGGTTGGATTTGTGAAGAAACTCTGGTTGCCATAGAACATCTCAGTGTGGAAAACATAGATAGTAGCAGGTGCTACAAAGGTTCTCGACAGCATAAATTTATACTACCAAACACAGGCCACATATGTGCCATTGCACAGAGAAGACATGGCAACCTCACTCCAGGTTTAAGGTAGTTTCCTCCTATCTGGTGCCCTCTGGATTGTCTGGAGTGGTCCCATAAACCCCAAATAGGGGCATTAAGGATAGCCAGGTTAAACACATATTCTTTACTATACGTTGCCCTAAACAAGATATACCAGTGATGGCAAACCTTTTAGAGACCAAGTGCCCAAACTTCAACCCAAAACCCACTTATGCATTGTCAGGTGCCAGGTTGGTGTGGCCCATTGGCTGGGTATGGTCCATTGGGTGGGCGTGGCTGCAGTAGTAATGGCAGACTGGGTGGGACTAAAAAGTTCAATCAATCTATTCCAACTTTGCAAATCTTTTTTTTTTCCGCAAGAAGTTGAAATTGACTGATTGATTGAACCTTTTATTTTTCACACGGTGGCAGAGGCCTAAAGCGAAAAGGTTTTATAAAACCCAGCTGAAGGTCTAGGACTTGGGCGACGGTGCATGTGCCCACAGTGTAGCCTCTGAGTGCCGCCTTTGGCACCTGTGCCATAGGTTTGCCACCACTGAGATATACAGTTCATTTTTTTTAATCTTGTGGCAAAAGGTATGGTCCTTAGCTGCTGTAGTCACACATACATTGTGTATAAATGCCTGCAGTAGCAATTGCCATGGCTTCAAATAGATGAGGGCAATTCGGAAATAAACCTCCGCTTGAGCATGTGCGACAAATAGGCGGGGATAGCGACACCCATCCTATGGAGCCATGCGCAGTAGTTCAGTAGGCAGTGAGGAATGGAAGGAGAAGGTATTGTTGTGGTTGACTCGTCCACTAGATCAGTTGAAAATGAACCCTGCCATAGAAAATCCCTCCAAAGGTGAAGTGCGTGCAGTAAAACAATTCCTGTGTGTGAAAAAACTTTCAGCAGCTGCGATTCATTACGAACTGTGTAATGTTTATGGACCAAATGTAATGAATGAAGGTGTCGTACGTCAATGGTGTCATATGTTTAAAGATGGAGGAACTGACGTGCACGATGAGGCAAGAAGTGGCCACCCATCTGTAGTCAGCAATGAACTTATGCAGAAAATTGACAAAAAGGTTCATGATATCTGCACTTTCTTTACACTTTCCCCAAATTTCTCAGACTGTTTTGTATGAGGTAATGACCGAAAATTTGGGATATCGCAAGTTCTGTGCTCGTTGGGTACCAAAACTCTTTTCTGAGGAACACAAAACACACCAAATGGGTTCACAATGCTGTTACAGGGTAGCTTCATCCCCAGGCAGGAGATTGTTTTGCAGAAGGAATTTCAAACCTTGTAAGATGTTATGATAAGGGGCTCAGTTTGAATGACGACTATGTCAAAAAGTAATGTAATGTTGTAGTTTTCTAATCTGTGTAATAAGAGTTCTGTATCTGCACGTGTCTGTCATTGGTAACCAATTGGAGGTTTATTTCCAAATTGCCCTCATATGTTCTTGTTGCAAATTGGAAGACTAGCAGATTTCATTCAAGCAAGACAATGAGCTGAAAAATCAGCAGGCAGTATAGCTGACAGATAGCCAAGTGCCATTTCTGTCTGAAAAGTCTAAACAGACAGAGTCTGGAGCACCATGGGATCCATCATGGGAGCATTAGAGACCTCTTGGATCACTCCATCCAGCTGAGCTGATGGGTGCAATTCCATTCTTTGAATATCCACAAGGATAGTACCGAAGGACAGGTAGATGGCATGGCAGAATACTAAAGTCCCCTGCAAGAATATCTACATGATGTAACTTCACACTGTTTCATTGCTCATTTCCCCCTCTGGGGTAGATCCGGTTCCTGATGAAAAGCCACTCATTTCTGCGAGAATCGATGCCCCCTCTTCTCCATGCCAGGGACCAAGTTGGTGAGTTTGACTTGGAAGCCCTTAGTGATGATTACGATGGCTGTGAGTTGTCCACATAGTCCCCAAACTGATTTTCCACCAATGGCAGCATTTTAGTTGTCATCCAACTATTGGCCTCCACATGCTAATCACAGACTTTCTCAACCTACGACTGCTGAGGAACTATTGGATTACATTTTTCATTTTCCTGTCATGTTAGATGTTGTAAGTAGAATTTAAGCATGACAAAATGCTAAGAAAAGTTATATGGATGCAAAGCAAAGGAAACCTCTTGCTTGGATCAAGTACACTTCCACATATCTCTCACCAAATCATAGTTTCTCCTATTTGCCAGACTTCATTTTGCATGAAGAGGTCAAAACATGGGAGATTTATTTATTTATCTATTTATTTATTTTTCTTATTAGGATACAAAGCAGCTCAAAATGTTTTTTAAAAAATCTGACATATAGTGCAAGATTTTATTGATTGCATTTTTTTTTCCTTATACATATCCTTGTGAACACATAGAATAGACGCTTTCCTTGTTTGTTGCTTTTGTATACCAATGGAGACAGATTTTTTTCAGAAAGCTGAATTCTGCATCTTGTATCACGCCTTAACTATAGTGGGTTTTGCAGCTACTTTTTGTACATAAGTATCTTGATAAGAAGGGCCGTATTGGCGCTGTGGTTAGAATGCAGTACTGCAGGATAATTCTACCGACTGCTAGAAGTTCGATTCTCACTGGCTCAAGGTTGACCTTTCATCATTCCGAGGTCAGCAAAATGAGAACCCAGATTGTTGGGGGGGCATATGCTGACTCTGTAAACCGCTTAGAGAGGGCTGCAAAGCATTGTGAAGCAGTATATAAGTCTAACCGCTGCTGCTACTGCTGTCATCACATACACATAAAGCTCTGCATTCCTCCTGCTGAAACAGTATGCAGAGATAAGATGCCTCCACTTGAGAATTATGTGTGCTCCAGGGCAACTATTTCTTCAGTGTTCAACACAAACTGCTGTCTAGGTACTTGTCCCTGTGTACTTTCAATAGTTCCTTTGCTTCTTTCCTCCACTCCAGGGAAGATAAGCCCTCCTGAATTATCAACCTACTTGTATTTTCTCTTCTGCCCTACTTTGATCTACAGAAAGAGCTATCCGAGGTGAGTCTTTGCATATTGTCTTTGTATTTTTGGGCTGCTTGGTTTCTCAGCTATATCAGAAAAAGAGTGGGCAAAACAGGCTACAGTGTCTACAGCCCATGCCCCTAGAGCAGTAGTGTAACCATTGTATTTCCCAAGAAAAGGGAACTGCACCTTATCACATCCCAATCCAATCCCGTCTCCTTTCCTTATAGAGATCCATACATCCGCTGGAGTTACGTCATCCAAAAATTGGTTGAGGTGAGTAAAACACATTAAGTTTCCATTGGCTCGTTGGTTTTATCTGGCCTCTTTATGGATTAGAAAAGTGCTTGGAGACTATTGGATTTTCCCACAAGACTGAGCTGAACTGGGAACCCTACGGTATCTTAGCTAGCCAAGGTAGTAAATAGCAATAACACTTTAAGAAATCCTGAGTGACTAAAGGCCACTATTTAAATTTCCCAGAGTTCTCTAGCCTTGAGTGAATTATAACATTTGTCCTGAGTCATGTTTGATACAAAAAAGTTCACTGCCCCTAAGAGATGTACAATTTGAAACTTTAGACACAACGTACATATTTTCAAATATCTCCCAAAGGAAAACAAAAGGAAAAAGGGTTTGAAAGAGAGCAGAGTTAATGAAACTTAGAGCCATTCAGCAAGTGAGTGGTGCAGAAATCTATGACAGGTTGACTAAAACTAAATAAAAGAGAGGCTATTGGAGGACAGCATTTGGGCATTGTAGGAGATTAAAATGGCAGCCAAATCCAGCTTCTGAAACCATAGATGAGAAGAAGGTTGTTCTTAGTCATAGCCAAGACAACCAGTATGCCTTGCCAGAACACTGAGATGCCAGTGGATCACTAAGGTAGTATTTTTTCTCTCTGTCCCACAGTTCCTGGCGAGTATATATTTTGTGAATTTCCTTATGAAATACTCCTTCATTCCTATGTCCAAAAACATGCATAAGCAGCCCTTCACCATCAAAATCCTGCTACTTTCCATCTTTGATTCAGTAGTACCTGGTATGTGGAAACAATTATGATTTTATTTGTGTAATGGGATTACAGGATAAGGCTGATTTATCACATTTTAGAGAAAGTGAAGACGTACAACAGATATTTCTCAACTGACAACCATTTGTTTAGTGACGTTCAAAGATACCACAGCACTGAAAAAAGTGACTTACAACCATTTTTCACACTTATGGCTGTTGCAGCATCCCCATGCTCACGTGATCAAAATACATGCCATAAATACTGGCATGTATTTATGATGGTTGCAGTGCCCCAGAGGGTGGCACGATCACCTTTTGCATCCTCCTGACCAGCAAAATCAATGGGAGAAATATCAGACAAGATACAGAAATTAAAGGACTGGAGATTAAAGGTGAAAAATATAAATTACAAGCATTTGCTGATGATTTAGTATTTATCTTAGAAGAACCTTTGGAGATGATTCCTAAACTACTGGGAAAGATAGAACAGTATGGAGAAGTGGCAGGATTAAAAATAAATAAAGAAAAAAACTAAAGTAATAGTCAAGAATCTCACAGATTAAAAAAATGACAGAAAAGACAGAGTTATAGATAGTGAAAAAGTCAAATATTTGGGCATATTGCAAAATGTTCAACAATAAAAGAAGATAACTACATAAAATTATTGAATCAAATAAAATTGGATTTGGAAAGAGGGAGAAATTTGCAACTGTCAATATTAGGAAGAATTTCTACAGTGGAAATGAATGTATTGCCGAAAATTCTATTTTTATTTCAAACAATCCCGATAAATCTTGAAAAAAAATTCTTTCAAGATTTAAATTCATTATTTTTGAAATTTATTTGGCAAGGAAAGAAAGCTAGAATTAAGATTAAAACGTTACAAGATGCTAAGGAAAATGGAGGTTTCGTGCTACCGGAGTGGGCTCTGTATAATCAAGCATCTATTTTAACATGGGTGAAAGAATGGATAACTCTTAGAAACAAAAGGTTGTTATATTTGGAGGGACATGATCTACAATTCAGGTGGCATGCTTTCTTATGGTATGAAAAAAACAGAGTTCATAAGTATTTCCAAAATCACTATATAAGGAATGCATTGTTAATAGTATGGGAAAAAATAGAAATAAATTATACCTGAAAATTCCAGAGTGGTTGTCAACTATGGAAGAATTTGTACATACAAACTTGGTAGATTTTGAAAAAAATTTGGACATACAGAGATATTCTAAATCCTGAAGGGAATTTAAAATCTAAACAAGAATTGGAAAATCAGGGTATCAACCTGTCGTGGTGGGCACATTTACAAATGCAAAGTAGATATGAAAAAGACGTTAAACTATTAGGTTTTTATAAAGAACAAACTGTATTTGATAAGATTTTGATAAGAAACTGATCAAGAGTTATGGGAAAGAATTTACAAATTGACAATGTCAACTTTGTATAAAGAAAATTTATATAAAATGTTTTATAGATGGCACTTGCCACCAGTAAGATTAGCAAAAATGTCTAAAAATATGTCAGATAGATGTTGGAAATGTAAACATAATTCAGGCACATATTATCATGTTTGGTGGACCTGAGATAAAGCAAAGAGCTATTGGAAAAAGATACAAACTTGGTTAGAAAAGATATTGGGAGAACATGTAGACTTTAAACCTGAACTTTTCTTATTAGGTATAATGCCAGAAAAGATTAACAAACAAAGCCTATATTTGATTTTGCACATCACAACAGCTGCAAGAATAATGTTTGCGCAATATTGGAAAAATGAAGGAATACCACCAGAGGAAGAAGTAATTTAAAAAATACTGGAATGCGCAGAGATGGACAGATTAACTATGAGATTGAAAGAAAAAGAAGAAACAGAATATTATCAAACTTGGGACTTATTCGATCAATGGCTAGAGGAAAGAAGGAAGGATTGGGAATTAAATATGTATTAGCGTTTTTAAACCCAGATAGCACGTTGTTTGAAAAATTATTATATGTATGTAAGAAAAAAAATCAATAAAATCAGCTTCAGCAGACTTTAGGGAAGATCAGCATCAGTGTTTTTCTGTTTATAAGGGCTTCAGGTATGAGTGTGTCAAATGAGGGTCTTGTGATGAATCAGGTGAGAGTCATTAGTGAGATTCTTTTGATGGGTCTAGTGATGGGGAGGTCATATCAGGTCAAAGTCATTGGGAGGTGGACTGCTGTTGGTGGGGGCTTCTGTGGGTTGGATGAGGGTTGGTGCTGTCTCTGGTTGGCTGTGTGGTTGATTTGGATTTTAAGGGGTTCGTAGGCTGGTTGTAGATCCATGTGTATTGATGGAATTGCTTGTGGAGTGCCAGTCTTTGATGAACTCACGAGCACGGTGGGTGATAGCATGGTCGATGATTTTTGTGTTGCTCCAATTGAACTGGTGCTGTTTGGTATCAGTGTAGTAGAGATTGAGGATTTGGGATTGTGGCATTTGACTGCCAAGCCAGTGTTCAGGGAACCTGGTTTTAATTGATGTGATGTTTGTCCCACATAGAATTGGTTGCAATCATTACAGTTGATTTTGTAGATTACATTGTTTCTTTCATCCTTCTGTACCTTGTCTTTGGTTCTGGATAATTCCTGGTGGAATGTGGCAATGGGTTTGTGGGTTATTGCTATTCCTAGGGTTTGGAAAATTCTGGCTGTCATTTCTGACATTGCTCTTGGGTATTGTAGGATTAGTGGACTCTTGTGGTTTGGGTGCTGTGTGTTGGAATAGGAAGTCTTTTGGATAGCCATTATGTAGAAAGACATTAAGCAGCTATTTCTCTTTTGCTTTTCTTAGTGTTGTGGTGCTACAGTTTGTTCTGGCCCTTCTGAAGAAGATCTGATCCATGTGTGTGGGTTTGGGGTAGATGCAGATTTCCAGTTCTCTATTGTCTAGTCTCCTTATGTCGATGACGAGGAATGGGTGTCTGTTGTCTGTTTCTTCTTTACATGTGAATTTGATCCCAGGGAATATATTATTGAGTAAGTGGTCTATTTCTTCAATTTAGAAGTGTCTGATGATGACAAATGTGTCATTGACATAGCATATCCAGAATTTTGGTAGGATGGTCAGTAGAGCTATGGATTAAAGCTTAGAGAATGAACCTTCATCTTCAGTATTGTGCATGTTCGCCACTTTGAGTTATATATTCAAATGGTGGGTAAAAATATAATAATAATAACAACATTTACCTGCAAGAAGAACTGGTAAGAGTACAAGATAGACAAATAGTAGAAAACGAAGACACTAAAGTGTTCTGGCACTTTAGAATTAAAGCAGACAAGCATCTGCCACACAACACTTTATGTTAACAATTATCGATAAGACAAAATTCACGAATAAAGGCAAATGTAGGTGTCCCAGGGTAATGTTGCAGGATCCAATCTGGGTCGGTTACCCGGACCAGAGGTTTTGTCTTCCGAGCTTTCCATCTTCAGGAAACTTTCTCTAGCCTAGGCTAGCATCCGAAAGCTCGAAAGACAAAACCTTTGGTCCCAGTGACTGACCCAGATCAGATCCTACAACAAAAAAGTCTGGATAATAGACATTGTAGTACCTGGAAAAAGCAGAAGATAAGAGAAAGAACTGGAGAAAAATCACAAAATATAAAGACCTGCAAATAGAACAATTGTGGCCAAAGAAAGCACAGATAGTATTAATAGTAATAGGCACCTTGAGTGCAATCCCAAAACATCTGGAGCACCACTTGAAGACCATCAGCACTGACAAAACCACTATCAGTCAATTGCAAAAGGCAGCTTTGCTTGGACCAACCATGACCTAGATGGTTAGATATTCCACTACGATGCTAACCTCTAAAAGTCTAAGCTAAAAGTCTAATTTGATTTGCAGTCGTCTGTCTTAAATCTAAAAGAATAATTGCATTTTTAATCTCTGGGAAGAACTGATGTATTTCTTTACCTCTCTCATTCAGGGATAACTTTGGGAATCATGATGCACTATTTCTTCCTGCACTGCTGGCAAAACATGTTTGCCGAGATCCTGCGCTTTGCAGACCGTTCTTTCTACAAGGTGATAACAAGGAGTGGGGGAGGTTGCAAGAAAGATACAGGGAGTCTGGATTTCATTCCTCATGGATATACTTGAATGGTCCATTGACCACTCCAAGTAAAGAATAGTTTAAAAAACTTCCCAAAGAATTCTGAGATGTTATGGCTCTAAAAGAAAAGCAAATTTTAACATGCTGAAACAACTGTACTGAGGAAACTGACATTGAAGTATCAAATTACTTGTAATCAAAGTAATAAATATAGGTGGTTCTCATTTAGCAGTTGGTCACAGTTACAACGATGATGGTAAAGTAAAATTATGATCAGTCCTCGCATTTACAATCTCTGCAGATCTGTAAAGCAAAGGAAAGTTGAAAAGATTGCAAGCATTTTTATCTATGCTAATTGTTTTAATGGGCTTGCAAAATATTTTACTTTTTGCTTTTGTCATAAGGCACCAGAGTCACTTCAGGTGAGATGGGCAACCATGTAAATTTGGCAATAAATAAATCTGACAAATAAATAACACAACTATTTCCACTTAATGACCACTTAACCACTTTGTTGCTGCTCTCAGTTGTGGTCACTAAATGAAGACTGCCTGTAGAAACTGCCTGTATGTTGAGGGACTGTAAGACAGATCAAATAACATGTTCTGAAAGACTTTGCAAGATCCCACATGATCCCACATCATTCATCAGCCCTCCCAATGGCTGAAATATCACCTTTCATGGCCCCCTTGCCCCTCAATCTCACCCCTTCCCTAACACCCAGTTGCACCTGCTTGCTCTCCCGCACCCAACAGCAGCCACTTACCTTGCCTGTTTGGGAGTTTCAAATTCCTGCTGGTTTCCCCACTAACTTAATGATGGAAATTCTAATCTCAATTGCCCTTCTAAGTCGAGGACTATCAAGAGTGGATTGTTCTTTTGCTTGCCTAAAATACAGGGATGTTCTAGTTTCATGCTATTTATTCCATTCTCCCTGCCTAGGACTGGTGGAATTCCAGATCATTCTCTGGATTCTTTCGGACATTGAATGTGATTGTACACGACTGGCTGTACTATTATATTTATCAAGATATTCTGCGGGTAGGTAAGGCTGTAATGGGCTATGAGAATAAACTTTGGGGCCAGGAGGAAGAACTTCAGCCAGGGCAATGGTCAACAAGAGATGCCTAAGCCCACAGCAGGAATTGGGGGTAGAACAGCATCTCAAAAGGGATTCTCTCTTGTTGTTCAGAAAATCAAGGACAGAAAAGAAGGAAGTGCTTGCAGACTTGCAAGATTCTATTACTGTAAACTTACAATAAAAGCACAATTATTTGGTTTGGTTTACTGTCTGGAAAACCTGATAGGATTGGCAAGCTCACCAAAACCACCCTATATTATCCCATAAAATAGATCTGCTGCATGTAATCTCTCTATGCCTATCTTCATTGTTTATTGATAAGTACCAAGATGAGGTCTCATGTGCTCCTTCTCTTTCAGCTGTTTGGAGGGAGAGCCCGAGGTGGAGCTATGCTGATTGTCTTCCTTCTCTCAGCGGTTGTCCATGAATACCTATTCACCTTGGCCTTTAGCATGTTCTTTCCTGTCATGTTTGTGCTATTTGCCACGATAGGAGGTCAGTACTCCCTAAGGAAATGGACTGAACCTTTACTCAGAGGATTCAAGCAAGGCCGGTAAAAAAAATAACGTGGCATGAATTGCTCCTGGTGAAGCTTCTTCCATTCTGTCCTACCCTCCTCTGGTTTGGGGTTTCCACACTTCCCAAATGGTACACACTCATGTTCCTTTTGATACATTTTTTTTTTAACCACTGGGAGGTAGAGTTGCTCCAAATTTATTCAAAGTATATGAAGCCAGTGGTCAGAGTCTTGTGGTGGGTCTTGTGATCCATCTAACCCTAACCCATCACAAGACCCTCACCTTATGTGACCCACACCTGACCCATCACAAAACCTATTACAGGACCCTCCCTTGTGACCCACACCTGAAAACACGGAGACCTTATAAAAAGAACACTGACACTGACATCCCCTAAATTCCATTGAAAAGGTTACATAGCCTGGTAACGAAACCAACAAGCTTGGAGAACGAACCTCCACCCCACCTCATCTGCTCCAGATTTATTACTATTATTATTATTTCCAGTATGCTCAGTCATCACAGCCTTCAGACATCTTGGCTACAAAATCTTGGGAATTGCTTGCCTCAAACGTGGAGCTTCCTAAATTGGGAAAGACTAGCTAAGGAACACCCCCCATCCAGTGTTTCTCATTCTTGGGAACTTTAAAATGTGTGAACTTCAGCTCCCAGAATTTCACAGGCAGCATGTGCATTGTATTATTCCCTCAGATGGTGAATTGTATGCTTAGGTTGGAGGCTGCTTTTTCATCCCGGAGAAAATTATTTTGGTGTCGTATTTTTTTCAAATTTTGCTGGTCACTGACTGAATAAACAGTGGTTCTTCCCTGAGAAAATTAAGATTCTTTATTCCAACAGGAGGGGAAAAAAATAATGTCAAACAATTTTACAAATTAAAAAGAAAGAGCAAAGAGCAAAAACAAAATTAATAACTGGAAAACAAAATGTTGCTATTTCAGAAGTCCAGTTACAATTCCAAAACAGATGCAAGTACTCTTTTATCTGCGTCCTGATCATGACTAAACTTTAGTCATAATCAGGATGCAGATAAAAGAGGGACAGGGAAATAGCCTAGGTTCTAGGAGCAGGGAGTTCCATCTACAAAGGTATTGCTTTGAGAATTGTCTTTCCCAAATTATTTTACCTCCATAGGAGTAAGGATGAGGCATACAGTATTGTCTTATAATTAACATGGGAAATGCTGTTATTTTAGATTTGGTAACGAAGAACGTTTCTATTACAAATAACAGTTATTAGAAATCAATAGTTATCCCCTTGGCTCAGTGTGATTGGAATATATACAATTAACCTCTTTTCTGTTTGTTTTCACAGTGTTGCTTAACTTTGTTCTCAATGATAAGAGAAAAAACCCTGTCTGGAACATCATCATATGGATAGGCCTCATTTTGGGCACGACCACCTTTTTCTCATTATACAGCCAAGAGTGGTTCGCACGTGCCCACTGTCCACTCAAGGAGGTGAGTAGACAGTCTACCTACGCGGAGTTAGAATAAGTCTTGGGTTTCCTCTTCATGTTATTTTCCAAGAGGGTCAAGACTACTAGTTGGTATATATCCCAACTGCTAAAATTAAGGTAAAGAAGGTGGGGAATTCAGAAACGCCAGGAACTTACAGATAAAATTGTTCTAAAGCTATGAGCTGATTCTAATTCTGCTGGTATTGGCAATGGCTAATGGCAGTTCAGGGGATATATTCTGCACCTGTATCTATTAATTGACTTGACTGACTGACCGATCAACAACTGACTGGTTGATTTGTGCCATTAAGCTGGTTCTGATTCCTAGTGACAACATAAATAGATCTTCCCTATGTTGAACTATGCCTACCTGTTCTTTCAAGTCTCCCAACGGGGCAGTCATAGCCGGTATAATTGACTCCACCCACTTTACTGCTGATCATCCTTTTCTTCTCTTTCCTTCCTTCTTTTCCAATGTTATATATTCCTAGCGTTATTCACCTGTATCTATGCTAGCTCGTAAATAAATATGTATTTGATTTTTATCCTGCTTTTATTTCTGGTCAGCTCAAGGCACTATATATATCTAATGTTCCCGCTTCCTATTTTCCCAACAACAAACCTGTGAGGTGGGCTGGGCTGACTAGACCCAAGTCACTCAGCTTACTTTCATCCCTAAGGGAAGCCTAGAATTAACTGTCTCCTGATTTCTAGGCCAGTACCTGAACCACTACCTCAAACTGGCACTTAAGTTAAAAAATTCTATCTCATCACTATTGGGAAAAACAAGGGCTCAGAATACTTATTTGCATGTATTTGGAAACTACAGTAGATGTTATTAAAAATGAGAGCACAATGGTTTCAATTTTTGTTGTTTTCAGATATAAAGAGAGTGATAAAGCAGGGGAAAAAATATCTGTAATTTGGCTGGAACCATTTAATTAAGGATTGTTTGATTATTACTTAATATTACTTTATTAAGATTATGCCTGAATCACCTTTTGGCTTCAAAACATTAAAATACTCCAATCAATAAAAAAAATAAAGAACAAATAATATTTCACATTGGTTGCACTTAGGGGGCATTTCAGTATGTGAAAAAAAAAGCACCTGACTGTTATTGATACATGAATGCTGCAAAGTCTTTATTGTTTTATTTTCACTTCATTCCTTTTCATTCTATGGAGCCCTGAACAGGAAAAAAGACCAAACCAAAGGTCCATTGAGAGCAGCAGATATGCCCAACCTGTTGCCAACCATGTATGCTGGCTCTGATTGGGAATCCAGCACATTCTGGGGAACCCAGGTTCCATAAGTTTTTATTGCAAGATTCTGTTTTACAGCCTAGTCATAGATGCTCACCTGCAGGGAGTCAAAGCAAACCTTTCTTCCTTCTCCTCATAACAGTAGCTGCAAAAGGTTCTTTGAAACATGCAGTATTGAAAATTCTGGGTCTAAGAGCCTTTGATAAGTAACATCCTCCAAGTACGGGGGCTACATTGAGTTGCTTCCAGGAGCTGAAGGGCCTGAGAAGCGAAACTGTCAGAATCAGATCCTGCATCCTGGAAAAGGCTAGGCCTGCAGTTCAAATCTCTCCAGTGCTGCCTTCGACCTTGCTGAGACTTTGGGAGTATTGTGCTAATGGGCTCCTGATTGTGTTGGAATATATGTATATATGGTTGAACTTGTTGACCCAGATCTAAGCATGTGATTAGTTGGAATTCTTGTATTATTTTGTCTTATGGCAGTTCTTTCCCTTACGCCTATTGTTTCTCTTTTGACGTAGTCATCATTTTCTTTTTTCAGAAGACCTTCTGGCAGCTAGTGACTCCACGTTCCTGGTCTTGCCACCAATAAGCAGCTATTTCCAGCCTACCCTATCTTACTTTGCTTCAAAAAAGACTTCTGACAAAGATAGCACATTACTCTGCTGCTGTGGCAAGAAGGACTCTCAGCACATCCACCCCCTCCATGAAAAGCTGTATTTGGCAATTCCTCACCTGAAGGTGCTAAAATTTGGTTTGCAGGTTCAAAGTCTCTCCCCTAATGGAGACAAAGAAATGTAGCATTTAATAAAACATATATAAAGATCCATGCTGTGTCAAGTACACCTCCTAGCTTTAATCCAAACTCTGTTGCTTTTAAATCAATAGGCAGCTTTCCAGATACTGGTGAAATCCAGCTCCCATTAGCTCCATTGATGAGGAATGATGGTTACTTAGAGTGCAACAATACCAGAAGTACTGCTTATATTTCCTACTATTAGACTTTCATTCAACATTCACTCTAACAGTGAATGAAAGGAGCCTGACGTACCACCAGCAGTATCCATTCAATGCCTACTGTATTGTGTGAATGATTTTTGAAACTATATTTGGAGAAAGGGGATCCCCAAACCACAAGAGAATAAACTGCAATATGAGACAAGGGTAAAGCCATCTGCTCACCATGCCATGTTTCTCATCCAATGAGAAATACAGTATAATATTTAAAAAAAAACCTTTGGTCACAATCCTGATAGTGCTTCAATTGCTTCTCTCAATGTAACAAGAAAGTGACATCTTTTGTTTCACTGCAGAGGCTGAAGCATTGTCTGCAGAGTATTTGGATGTGTGCACAGCATTCAATCATGTGGATTTTATTCAAAATGATGCTAAATAGGCAATCAAGAGAACATTCTTATTGTTAGCACAAGATTTGTTTAGCTGATTCTACAATTATGTTTTTAATATTGGAGGAAAGGGCAGGCACTTTGAATAAAAGTGTATTGACATTCATAATGCAACTTGTGTAATTTTTAAAAACAGATACTCTTCTATGTCAGTGTTATCAGATCTCTCTAATTTTCTGTTACTCTGCTGCCTTATTCACAAATTATATTAAGTCAGTTTTGGCTTAAGCTTGACTTAATGAGTCAAATGGAATTGACAGCATTTATACAATCCACTCAGAACCAATTTGTAGAATCTTTTCCCCAACTTCTGTCAATCTGAGTAATTAAATTCCTCTTGTGGAATCCTTGATCTGTAGTGTAGGTAGTCCTTGACACCCAATTGAACCAAAAATTTCTGTTGCTAAGTGAGACAGTTGTTAAGTGATTTTTGCCCCATTTTAGGATCTTTCTTGCCATAGTTGTTAAGTGAATCATTGCACTTAATAACATGGTTGTTAAGTGAATCTGGCTTCTCCATTGACATTGCTCATCAGAAGGTCGCAAAAAGTGATCACATGACCCAGAGACCCTGCAACCATCATCAATATGAACCAGTTGCTGAATTTTGATCACATGACCAAGAGGATGCTGCAACACTCATAAATGTGAAAACAGTCATAAGTCACTTTTTTCAGTGCCGTTGTAACTTTGAATGATCACTAATGAAGTGGACTACCTGTATTAGGAGCCATGGTGGCACAGTGGTTAAAATGTGGTTTTGGTGGCGGACGGGATGGATGGAAGAAGCCGGCGCTCTGGCTTTCCAGTCTGATTTCACTTTGCCTAGCAACCTTTAAAGGGTCAGAAAGTTGCCCTGGAGGGGCAATGAAGAAGGAGGGACACTCCAGAAGCTCGGATCAAGCATTGGCCAATTGGAGTGAACTGAAGAAATCCTCTGAAAAGGCGGAGGAAAGGCTGCTGGATGAGCCGACGCAGCCCAAGTTGTCCCAAACCGGAGGGGAAGCGAGGAGTTGCAGCCGAAGCACTCCGCTAAATAGCTGACTGTCAACAGCGTGCTGAGAGAGGTGAACCAGTGCTTTATTACTTCTCCTTGTGGGTTATAAAACATTGAGCCCCTGATGGGTAAGACCTAAAAGCAAAATCCTCAGAAGAATTAACTTAAAAGTGGCGAGTAACTACAAAGGGGAAAAACTCCTAAAGAATATCAGACATTAATAAATGAGTTTATGAGGACTAGTGGTGAAAGAAGAAATGACAGTATAAATAAATATTGGAAAAACTCTTTTGACCTTGAAAAAACAACACCTGCAGAAAACAAAATGCCTTGGTGTGAGATTACAAGGGAAAAGACTCCTCATAGTTACATTTGTTGACTTTGACTATAACTAAACAGAAATTATTTGGAGAAAGTGAACATTTTGTTTTGGAGACTCAACTGGAGGAGGTCGATTTACTCAAAAACAGCTGGCCTCTTCCTACACCCAGGACTTTATTTTAAGATTGTTGTCTGTAAAATGAGTACATCCAACATTACTAGACTTATGAAGAAGATCTCTTCTGCACCCTCTGTTGGACAATCTAGCCCAACAACCCAGGGATCTATTGAAACAATGCTGCAGCATGAGAAAATAAGCACTGCCCAAAATGAAATGCAGGCCTCACCAAAATAGATCCAAGAGATGATGCAAAAAAAAATCATGAAGAGACACAAAGTAATTTTGAAAAATTAAGCAAAGAAATCTTGGATATAAAGGCACAATTTGAAGCTCAACATCAAATGATTATTAAAAATGAACAAAGAATTCAGAAAGTGAAAAATAAATCAGAGGATATTGATTAAAAAATGGAAATGTTATCACAAGAAAATGAAAAATTAGAACAAGCCAATCAAAATCTAGAGGGGACAGTTGCAATTGTAGAAATGGAAAAGGCAGAACACTATTTGAGATTTCAAAATATGCCTGAGGACAGAGAAGAAAACGTAGCAGATGTGAACACTGAGCCTTTGGCAGAAGCTTTGAAGGCAGATAAAGCAGAAATGCAAATCGAGATAGAGGAAACATTTTGAATGAATTCAAGCTATGCAAGGAAGAATAAACCACCAAGAGAAGTACATGTAAGATTCATAAAGAAAACAACAAGAGATGAAGTGCTGAGAAAAGTGAGAGATGACCCATTACAATATAAAAATAAAGAAATTGTGGTTTTAAAGCAGATACCTAAGAGAGTAAGAGATACTCGAAGACACTACCATTTCTTAACTACAAAGCTGATTGCAAAAAGGCATAAACTTTAGATGGTTAATGCCAGAAGGCATCTTAATAAACTGGAATAATACAAGATATCAACTGGATTCAATTTGGAGGACTTCAAAGCAAGAAACCGAGCAATTCTAGATGAAGGAGTGCAACAACGACAAGAGGAGAGCAAGGAACAGAAGCAAATGGAAGAGACAGCCCAAGAAACAACTATACAAGTAGGGGAACGGAAAAAGAAAGACAAGCAAGAGGGTGAAGGTGAAGGAATGGCCAGAGAACAGAGGATTACGAGAGCGACTAGACCTAAATATAAATAATAGAAATGGAAATGGAGAAAGAAAATGGAATTTTTTCAGTGAATGTAAACGGACTAAACTCCCCATCAAAAAGAAACAAAATTTTCAGGAAACTACAGAATTTGAATATAGATCTAATTTGTTTGCAAGAGACACATATAAAAAAACAACATCACAAATTATTGGAACATCGAAAAATTGGGAAACTTTACTATGCATCAGCGCATCAGAGAAAAATAAGTGTTGCTGAATGTATTAAAGAGACAACAGATTTTAAAATGTTGTGTCTCAGATGAAGAAGGAAGAATTGTAATGGTAGAAATATATTTGCACCAAAAACAAACATTGTTAGTGGCAATTTATTCACCAAACAATAACCAAGAATAATTCTATCAAAGCCCAGATAGAAAAGTACCGTATTTTCTGGCATATAAGACGACTGGGCGTATAAGACAACCCCCAACTTTTCCAGTTAAAATATAGAGTTTGGACTATATTCGCCATATAAGACTATCCCTCTTCCAACGCACACCAAATAAAAATTAAAAAACATCAGATTTGATTTCAATATGGTACCATAATTTTAATTCAAATGCTTATGACATGCACACACATACACACACACCTCCTTTCCCTCCTCCCTCTCCCTCCAATCCTTCCACCCCCCTCTACCACGATTTGCAGCTCAGAAAGTGCAAAGCAGCCAGGAGACAGATTGAGTTTTGTTGCTAATTTCCCAGGGTGAACATTTACCAGCCTGCGACTTCAAGTCAGCAAAAAGCAGCTGCAAACCACACGCCCACTAGAGGCGAGTTGCAGGGAAGGTGGTGGATGACAATGCCTCCACGACCTTTGTGAGCAGCAGCTGCGGGGCGAGATGAAGGAGGAAGAGAAGGAGCAAGCGGGTCCCCTCCGTTGCCCCCCGGTAGCGAGCTCTGGCTTGGAGCATGCGGGCTGCGCACCAGGATCTCCAGAGATGGGATCTCCTCCTCTTGGTCTTCTACCCCATGAATCCTCCACAGCTTCCCCGAGCCAAGCTCCCCCCTCCCTGAGTTTAGTGGGATGTACTTGCAAAGCTCCCCCTCCCCCCCGGTTGAGATGACAGATTGGGATATGGAGCTGGGAGCAAGCGGAAAGCCTGCCTATTTGTGAGCCAGGAAACTTTGGGGCTCTGCCTTGTCAATCGCACATACACCTTGATGAAAATTGCCCTGCCTGCAAAAGGTCTTCTCAGCAGTTTTTTAAAGTAACACTACCAAGAATGAAATTGGTGACAGCCAGAATGTTTAGGGAAGAAGGAAATGAAGCAGTTAATAAACTGAGTAAGAAAGGCATTCGCCCTTCGAAAACTTGCATTTCCACAAATGTGATAAGTTGCCCCCTTTTCAGCTATTGGGGGGGGGTAAATGCTTTCCTTTTAATTTCGGCTTTCCTTTTAATTTGTTATTAAAACTCAGTGCACTACAATACTTATTGATGGGAGCCGGATTGACCAGCCAGGATCTGTCATAAATAACACCACAAATGCACCATGCAGGTTTATTTAGGCAGGGGGAAACCACTGGCATAAGCTCGGTGGAAGTCGATAGGCGAAAGGACCATGTAGCTGTTTTCTGTCCCCCCCTCCATTCCTGCTTCGTAAATCTGAGAAGAATTAAGCTGACATCCCTCCCTCCCCTTACTAGTAATAGTAATAGTAGTAAAGTTGGAAGGGACCTTGGAGGTCATCTAGTCCAACCCCCTGCTCGGGCAGGAAACCCTACACCATTTCGGACAAATGGCTGGCCAGTCTCTTCTTAAAAACTTCCAGTGTTGGAGCATTTACTGCTTCTGGAGGCAAGCTGTTCCACTGATTAATTGTTCTCACTGTCAGGAAGTTTCTCCTTAGTTCTAGGTTGCTTCTCTCCTTGATTAGTTTCCACCCGTTGCTTCTTGTCCTGCCTTCAGGTGCTTTGGAAATAGCTTAATTCCCTCTTCTTTATGGCAGCCCCTGAGATATTGGAATACTGCTATCATGTCCCCCCTTGTCCTTCTCTTCGTTAAACTAGACATACCCAATTCTCGCAACCGTTCCTTATATGTTTTAGCCTCCAGTCCCCTAAGCATCTTTGTTGCTCTTCTCTGTACTCTTTCTAGAGTCTCAACATCTTTTTTACATCGTGGTGACCAAAACTGGATGCAGTATTCCAAGTGTGGCCTTACCAAGGCATTGAAGAGTGGTATTAATACTTCACGTGATCTTGATTTTATCCCTCTGTTAGCCTCCTCCTCCTTCCTCCCTACTGTATGGGGCGTGAGGAAAGAGGGAACGCCTTGTGCCGCCACCTGCCTGCCCACCTCCACAGCCACCAGTCGTACGCTCAGTATGAGCCACCACTGCATCCCCCATGAGCATCTCCTACTGCCCACCTCCTTTTAAGCTCCACCTCCCCCAAGCTACTCCCACTGGGGGTCAGAGGTCAATGCTGAAAAGGCTCTGGATGATGGCGGAAGAAGTGCTGAGAAGTGCCTTGAATGGATGCAGATGCTTCCATTTGTTTTCATTATAT